TTTTGTCTTTAAAAAAGACAGAATTTCCTCACGTCTTTTATTACAGATTGATAAATAGATTACTTGATTACTTTTTGATAAATAATTCGTTCTTATTGCGAAATGGGAGCACTATTTATTTTGTCTTTAAAAAAGACAGAATTTCCTCACGTCTTTTATTACAGATTGATAAATAGATTACTTGATTACTTTTTGATAAATAATTCGTTCTTATTGCGAAATGGGAGCACTATTTATCAATCTGTAATAAAAGACGTGAGGAAATGCTGTCTTTTTTAAAGACAAAAATTTTTGAGGCGAAATACCCAAAAAGAAGTTTGTAAAAAACTACAATTTATTTATTTTACTATTTTTTCTGTACTCCTATAACAGCGCCAGACAACACCTCCAGAGAAATGACGCCAATCTTGATTCACCCTGTACAATCAAAAAAATACAACTTCCAAACCGAAGCCGGTAGAAATCTGAAGGATTAACTTTCTGTAGCAAGTTTTTTTAAATTAAATTTTAAGTCCCAAATTCAAAGTGCGGCGCAGTGACTCGCGATGAGTCATAACACTCTGTTGTGTGACACAACACAGTGTCACCAATGCCTAGTGGTTTTTAGCAGAAAAAATCGAATATTGACTGCTACTTTTTCGGGAAACATTTATCCATATTTCACACTTTGGCGCAAAAATTAGTAGTTATATGTTTCAGGTCTCGTCACTCGGACTCAGACGACGACGATTGGTGCTAGCAGAAACTGAACACTCTCTAAGAGTAAACATATTCGTACGCAATCGTGTTTCTTTGTTCCGTTTTTCTTTAACATTGAGTGCGTGAATAGTTAATAATGCAAAAAACAAAGTGGAACTGTTTAAAAATTCAGTTGAAAGTGTGCTACTCAAGTGGTGCCGTGTTGTTGCCGGCTACAGCCAGCAGGAGCTTGCTGTAGATCAGCCCGTTAAGGAAAGTTGTTTTAGCCAATTTTATGTTCAACAATTCCTTGCTTTACCGAGTCGGGGATCTGCGGATGGGATCGTGAACAAACTTCTAGAAATCGATTTAAAAAACCACTGTTTTTCGGCCAAGGAATTGAACCAACGCCTTAAAGGCGACTAAACTGAAAGACGTTTTTTTTATTTCGGAGTTCCAAAATGTTCTTTTCGCGTATCGACAGAATGGAAGTGAAGGATTCGCCAAATGCATTTCGCATCCAGCTGAAGTCGTTGTGCTTGATTTCCGTTAAATGTTTAAGCTTACAAGATGGAGCAACCGACTGTTTTCAATAATTGTAATCATTTGTTAGTTGTTTCATGTTGCTGTTATATTGTTAAAAATCTATCGTATGTACGTCTATTAAGTTGCTCAGATATACTGGTTAAGTTTTGCCTGTTTGCTTAGTGAAGTTGGCTTCGAATAATTAGCTAATTGCACGGAACCAGCAAGGTTTTTGGCAAGTGGCAGAGGTTGAACAGTCTGTATGACAACTTCTAACAAGTCCAAACAAACCATTCAATCTTTCCATTGTCTTCCACTTGTAAACCAATCTTGCTGCCTTGATTTAAAAAAGATCCCGTGACGAACAAGCTGGAAACTCTCTGGGTGTTTTTCTAGTAAACTTCCATCAACCTCCTGCCCTGAGCAGCATTTTATTGCTTGCAGCCAACTTCGCTTGAAGTGTATTATTCATTTTTGTTAACTGTTGCACTGTGAAGATATTTATTTACACCGAAGACCGTTTTAGACGCATCTGTACCTACTTTCAACCCGTTTTTTGAGCACCCCGTGAGCTTGAGCGCCGTACAGATCCGTGTAGAACCGCTGTTTAAATTACCCACTTAGATCTAGCTATGTTTTGTGATATAGATATAAATACAGCACCTTTGCCCCACCATATAAAAATAACAAACGATTAGGAAAGGTTGGGTTATTCTAAACAAAAACGGAGCGAAACATTGCAAAGACAGTTTGAAATTTTTGACTACTGCCAATCTATTGAACTTATTACTTACATAGAAAAATGGCACTATTTTGTCATATAATTAATCGGATATAGGTTGGGTTGTTGCGGCAAATCAATAGGAATTCTTAGACTTGTAGGGTGCAACCAGATTTAGCAACCGACTTGTATCTTTTCCGATGCGGTAGGGGTTTTTTCCAATCGTGCCAATGTTGTTCATATTTCACTTTTCTATTACGGTTCAAATGGACTATTGATTTTTTTAGGGTTCACGTTCAGGACCTGCACTTGTAAAAACTCAACAACACTTAATTATCATGCCAACTGTGGCATTTTGATTCAATCAAAGTGCCTCAATCGATGCGAATGATCACTGAAAGACTTTCTACTTTAAATTGGAGAGTTCGATTTGAAAAACCGCGTTTCTGAGGTTCGTAGTTGTGTGTAAATGAAATAATTATTTGGGGCCAAGTACTCTTAATTACCCTTAGGTTGTTGCTAAAAACCCCCGCCCTATAGCTGAATATTCCTGTACATAACTCCTAATAATAGTATTTCGAATTTAAACACTTAATCGTTGAATTGGCCGGAACGGGCTCTTCTTCTACCACTATGCAGTAATCGAAATAAATAAACACCGAGACGAGTCCCTTCTGGCCCCAAAAAATACCAAGTTATGACTCTGAATATAAATACTTACATATAATTCTTCCCTAAGTGCTTTATACCACTATAAAATGGAAAAATATATTGTAACCAATAAAATAAATTATTCTTTTTTACGTTACATTGTCTCTGTATAAAATTTGAGGCAACACTTGAACAAAATCACTCTTAGAGTCAATCTTTCTCTACTTCAGTTCAGCCTCTAGAGTGACTTTTTCAATCCCACTGTTAAAGTTACCTATATACATTTGTTCTGTGATATGAAAATAAGTGTAAAACAAATACAAAACACGTTTTTCCACTTTGTTTCTTCTAGGACTTGAGATTCTCAATCAGTTCAGTTCATTGTTTTGAATAGAATTTTCACCATGCATTGATAAAAGCTAAATTTTTAATCTGTAATTTTCATAATTTCTACCGATTTTTCTCATTCATCTCTAGTTTCCATCCGCTTCGCTTTCGAAGTTTAAAATATGCCCACTGTGTACTTAGATCATTTCTTTACCCAGCTTTTTTTAGTAGAGTTTCTGGGGAAAAATCCCGTTCGCCCAAAAAAACTTGCAGGAAAAGCATCATCTACACAGTGAGCACATTTTCAGCTCCAAATTCCCGGAACATGGAGACTAGAAAATTTCGAAAATCTGCTACTGATTGAACCCAACAGACTCATTTTTCCACATAATTTCCTTTCGCAACGCATTCAGCAGCTCTAAAGCGTTTTCTGTTGTTAACAAAGTCCTGCTCCGTTAAATGTTGTTGTCTTTCGAAAAAAAACTGTGTGAAAGTTGTTCTCATGTTGTTATTAAATAACAAATCAAGTATTGTCGTTGACAAAACATTTCTAAATAACTGTTAAAATAGACAAACACTCTCAATGTACTCACTACACGCTCTTTCCTTTTCGACCCACTAGTTTGTAACTGAAACGAAAGAAAAAATTGCCGACCTGTCCATGTAGATAAGTAGTCCACTTTCTGGTTAAATTTATCAATAAATATCCGGTTGGTGATTTTTTTTCATTGAAAAAAAAATAATGCCAACTTAACAAAATGATGCGGGTATACCTGATTTCTATTAAAGCTATGCTTAAGATATGTATAAAGGTTTGCGATGGACGAATGTAGCGCCCGAAAATCTTTCATTTTTTTCGTTAAGGAGTTATTTAAATAATGTCCAGTTTTTGTATCCATTACTATGTAAAATAATGTCCAAATATGCCTAAGAGATTCTGCCTTAGAGATGTTTGGGAAATTTCAGAAAATCCACCATTTTTCCCTCCCCGAAGTATTATTATCTATTATCGTTACATAGTCTAGACAGTAAATTTAGGCAATTTAGGAACTTAAATGCAAACGTTGACCATGCGTTTTCAATAGTTTGGCACCGAAAAAATCTGGTGCGATTGATTTGTTTACAATTGTTAATGAATAATTAATTATTAGTTAAGTAAGTTCGATTAAATAGCTATTGGAATGCATGGTCAGCCCAGTACTGTTGGTGGAAAGTGTTTTCTTGAAATTTCTACTGTGAGGCGCAGAATGTTGCATCCCTCGTGATTTAAACAAACATTAAGTTAATGAACATTTGTTGTATTTAATTATTTAGGAAATTTTGCATTAGTGTTAATGATAATGATATCGCTTTTGAAGCATTTTTTTAAAGAAATTGTGAATAAATAATAATATTCTAATTCTTACGGTGTAGTTTCTGTAATAACAAATTTATCCATCATTATTTCGGTTGTTTTATTAGAACAAAACAACAATTTGTATCAGAGCAATTAACGTGTTGTATTCTTCGCTTTCTTCCGGTCAAACCGGTGTAAAATTGGGAGCATTTTGAAAGATTCATATTCAGGATTCAGAAAAATCGCTTAAAACGAGCCAAGAATTATTTTCGATTATTTTCTGAAGCTAATGGAAGACCCACAGACTAGCAAATTTTTACCTTCTCGGTTATTTAATAACCACTAAAGCAATTTTGAGTGTTTAAACCAGCAGCAATTTCGACCGAAAAGTTTTGAAAATGTTTTGAACATTTTGAACGCTTTGATTTCATGCCCGTTTAGTACTGAAAGTACTAGAAAAAGTGCACCTACCATTAGGGGGTTAACTTCTGCTAAAACTCCAAAAGTTCTCCAACCTCCAAATTGGCACCAAAATGTCACCGCACTGACAGCACACATCGCGCAACTGAAAAATAGCGTTTTTTTCGCTAAATTTGCACTAACGGCCGGGAAAATACCATCTAACTGTGGCCAAGGCCTTTCCGGTTGAGAAAAACTGCCCCATTGGGGGAAAAAGCCGTAAAACTCGGCAAATTTCCGAAATTTTCGCGAGAAAATCAGCCCGCGTTCGTCCTAGTCACCTCCAAACAGTAGCCTAAATGACATACAAACGTCACTGTACAAGATGGGACAGTTTTCGCACAAACAACCGTGTAAAATATACATTTATTAATACTGATTTTATTTACACGCCTACGCTTAATGTATGCGAACATATTGAACTATAAATATTATGAGTAATTGGTCAAATCGGCGCTTTCCCTCACATTACAAGTGAGCAAACCGAGTGAAAAATCAACGAATTGGGTGCTTTACTAACTAGTGATCAACAGGGAAGATGAAACATTTTATAAAAATGCCTTCGCAAACGGTGACAATGATATAAATAAACTAGAGGAATATTAGCTGGGGTTTCCATTAAAAATCGTAGGAATCGTTGTCGCCCTTCTGCACCTTAAAGATGTACTTGTAAAGCAACCCTGCGAGCACCCCGCCTGCAATTGGGCCCACCCAATAGACCTAAAAAATAAATTATTATACAAATTCACAGAAAAATCGAAGATTTTTCACAAATTTTAGCCAAAAATCCATTTTTTCAATAGCTTACCCAGTGGTCATTCCAGAAGTTCATGACCACGGAAGGGCCGAAAGTGCGGGCTGGATTGATGCTGGACCCAGTGAAGTGAATCTGATCAAGAAAGAAGAAAAAATGCTAAAACAAGCGCGTAGAAAGGGGACAGTAAATAAATACAACAAAAAATGTGCTCAACGACTGAACTCGTTTTCGATTGATGTGTCGCTCTAAGCATTGCTCAGTTTCTTCTTGCTGATGCTGAAAGATCCCTCTGCTTCTAGTTTCCAGAAGACACACAGATAAATAAGGCCTTAATTCATAAACAATCAAATACAAAAAAAAACAGTGAAACTTACCCCACTTAAATGGGCTGCAGTAACGGTAAGTCCAATGGCCAGCGGAATGCTGCCTTTGATGTCGTTCCTTCTTCCATCGCAAACGCCATGGATAACAAACACCAGAATAAAAGTGAAAACAAGCTCGAAGAACAGTCCATTGATTGGCTGGATTTCTGGGGCCACTTCAGTGAAGCCCAGGTTGCCGTTGATGAAGGAAGCGGGCAGCAAAGCCTGAGAAACACAGATTAAAACAAAACAGATAAAAGCAAATTAATAAAAATTATTTATGGTTTTGCCAGCATTTTCCAAGGCTCCAAAAATCGAGACTGGATGAGTTTAGACGAAGTTTCAAGTTAATAGCTGCTCTAGATTGAAAGTGAACAATTTTTAAATCAGACGTTGCAGTTGAACGTGTGAAAGCGGTAATTTTCAGGCCGCCATTTACGCAAAACAAGCCCGCAAGACTGAGAATGTTGTGTGATTGCAATGAAATTTTCACCCTGTTCAGATTCAACCCCCTTCTATACACTGTAAAAGTCTCATGATGCAGTTTTCGCTAGAATTGAAGCTATGAATTTTTCAAGCAACTGGTGTTGGTGTTTTCAGAGCAACATTTGCCATTGCATTTTCCTTTAACAAACCCATCCAAATCATTGTTTTTTCCTAATCAAAGCAGTTTCAAGCAAAGTCATGGAAAATCGTTGGCATCAGTTAAGGTCACCAAAGTCCTAGGTTACGACCAAGACTGTTCAATGGTCACGCAAGAATGACCAACGAGTCCAGCCGATAGAAATGCGCATAGTAAAAGCGTGAAAGTCTACGTATTTTACGCAAAACATTTTTCATATTTTAAAACAGTAGTCTGCAAATGTTGTTGTTTTCACGCAAAGAGCAATAATCCGACTGCGGGTTTTCAAAAACGCTCGCAGTTTTTGGCTCATTGTTAGAGAACCAGTTGAGCGACAAACCTCTAGCTTTCATCCGGAGATAGAGCGTTAAACAGTGCCTTTTTCATATAAAACCTCGTTTGTGACAAATTTCCATGTTGTACTAAACGTAGATTTCCTCAGTCATCGATCACTTTAACAAATTAATGAATTCTAGAGGAAAGCATTCATAAATGTGCATAATAGGAGAAAAACTAAACTAAACGAAAGCATTCGATATGAATAATTTTGCGTAAATGCCACCAACAAATCCTTATCTCCACTTCAAGCCAGCAATGACAGTTTAAAAGGAAACAGGTGTATATTAATGGAACCGTTAATGGAAGCTGCGTATATTTACTGAGCCATACGCTTATGTAAATGACACATTATTAGGTACAATGACCACCATCCCGGAGCGATTTGCATTATGTAACACAAAAAAATTAAAAATGGAATACAATTAGCACGTTTGCTGGTTGTTGATTGTGTGCCTTAATAAGAGGAATGGGAAATGGCAAAATCGCACCCCTGATAGGAGTAGCGCATATTAAACGATGGATTTAGAGCTGCGTGACATCGAACATAAATAAGCAATTATTATTTATTTATTGCACAATCCTTTGGCTGATTGATAAATAACCGTTTCGAATCATGCTAATAATAGATAATCTTATATGAAACGTGAGCACACAGCAAAAAACTGTGCGGCCGTTGAAGGGCTTGCCGGTGCTTGATAGAGGCCGTTTTCCCATATTTTTCCAGCTGGCTCTGACTAATTGCGGTTTAATTAAATTCAATGATTTGCCAATTTGATTTGTTCGAACATGCGAACATTAGTTGGCCATTGTTTCGCCCCAGTCTCATTAACATCGAACAACATTCTGAGAAGGCGGTAATTGGCTTTTAAAAGACGCTTTTTTCGGCTCAAAACAATCAGTTAATTCAATTGTTCGATGCTCTAAAATCCCACAGTTTCTACAAACGCGATTAGCCTTTCTGAAATCGACAAATTTCCTAGTCGCTTGTGAAAGTGAAAAAATTGAACATCCGTTAGGTTGAAGGGCAAAGGTTCCAATTGTTCTGGGATTTTGCTTGATTTTTTCACGGCTAAATTTGTTTTTTAYACTGGATGGTAAAATATTMCTTTCGAAACSTTTAAAAACTGTGAATGTTGCTAGTTGCAATTTACTCTCAATTGGAAGTTATTAATTTCTCAAAAACAGGTGCATTTGTGTGCAAAAACCGATCATTTTTAAGTCAAAACTCATCAGGGCCGCAAAAATCAGGATTAGGTCCGATTTAACTGAAATTTTTCACGGTTTTAGAATGGACTATTTCCTATCGACGTTCATTTGTAAGTTTAAGTTTTAAGCAAATGTTTAGTTGCCATTAATTCAAGATAAAACTTACGAATTCTTAAACAGAGGCAGGCGCTTAGGTGGAAACGTTCATTTTTAGTCCCAAACTTACAGAGTCGGCAAAAATCAGCCTTTGATGTGATTTGAATGAAATTTTTCGCATGTTGCGAGCAAACTATTATCGACTGACTGCAAAAGTTTCAAGTTGTGCGTTGGTCAAAATTTAAAGTTGCCGATTTTTCAAGCAGAAGCTGCACTTATGCGCGGCCGTTCATTTTTGGCCAAAACTTCCCAAGTCCTCAAAATTCAGTATTCGCCCTGATTTCAATAATTTTTTTCTGCGCTTTTCTTCGACTCGACTGTTTTCAATTGACGATAAAAGTTTGAAGTAGCCCGTGGCTCACGATTCGGAATTATGAATTTTTCAAATAAAAAGAGCATTTGTGTGGAAACGTTCATTATTAGGCCAAATCTTACCACGTCCAAAAAAATCAAGATTTAATGCGATTTAAATAAAATTTTCAGCATCGTTAAACTCGACTATTGTCTATCTACGGGCAAAGTTTCCATGCGCTTGTAGGTCAATACTATAAGTTACGAATTTTTTCAAACTTAAGCTGCATTTCTGTGGAATCGGTCAGTTTAAGGCCTAAACTCATCAAGTGCGCAAAAAATCAGATTCGAAGCGATTCAAATGGCATCCCAAGTATATTTAGACTTTTGCACAGCATTAGAAGTTACGAATTTTTCAAGCCGAAGGCCTATTTATGTAGAAACGTTATTTTTTAGAGGAAAAAGTCCGCAAAAATCAGTATTCGGCGTTATTTGGATAACATTTTTAACCGTTTTAGAACAGACTAGTTGTTATTGACTGCGAAAATTCCTCAAACTCTAATTCGATTGAATGAAGTGAAACCGATTTTCCATTCAAGAGCGTAGCCGACATCCGGTCGTCTCACTTGCGCCCATAGCAGTTCAAGAGAGATCGAAGACAGCCTGCGCGTCGCTACGTTCCAACTTGATGCCTTCACAGCTCAAAATAATACAAACCACCACACTTCCCCAACTGAAAAATTGTTCATTCCTCTAAAGCCAACAATAATTGCCGTCCAGAAAAACTGCATTTTACTTTTACTTGGCGTTTTAATTAGCCTTTAACTTAACCAGCTATCAACAAAAACTGTGATTGCCCATAACTGCACAACCTAAATCCATGTACTTAAACCTCACCTAACGGATCATTAACCTTGCTCTAAATAAATCGTAGCATCATCAATCGAACGAAATTAGCATTGAAATCATTAAAGTTTTCTAAATGTTAAGTACGACACTTTCCGCCTCTTAGATGGAACTGGTTAAGTGAACGGACATTAGAATACTATGAAGGCTTCCAAAGAAGGAAAAAACCTTTTATGTGTGAATTTGAACTTTAATGGACTATTATGAGTGTCTGCAGGCGCAAACCAACGGTCGTGATGATCGATAAGACTTTTTGTAGAATCTGTGGTAATTGCGTTATTATATCAGCCTATACTTGGTAACAAACCACCGTTAGCTTGAAACACTCCCAGCCAATCGAGGTTGCGGCTCATCACAGTTAGTTAAAAGGCGTTTTATCCTCAAATTAAATAAAGTCCGTCTATTAGAGTGAAAGTAGTTTAGGTATTGTATTAATTTTCCTTTTCCTGCAATCACTATCTTTAAACTTGATGGACGATGTGCATCCACTTACCGCGATAGAAAGTAAATGAAATGATTACAAGAAGCAGTGAAGCAGCCAGTGTTGAGAATGGTCGCGTTTTTTTCCTTTCAGCGAAATGAGAAAATTGTCCGCAATTACAAATAGAAGAGAAACGAGCCATTTTCTCTGCTTCCATCTGCTAATTGGCGAGTTTTCTCGAGTTGAATGCAAGTTTCTTAAAACAGTTTCACAATTCAGTCGGGTTGCATTGGCGATTGTCTGCGACTAAACTAGATCGTTTTAGGTAACGATTGTCCCATAAAATTGCAATTATTGCCGATATGCAATTGCCACCGCTTTAAAAGGAAATATTTGACTAATTCGGGTTTCAAGCCAATCCACTGTTATAAATAGGGAAGTTGGACTTACCTTTAATATTCCAGCCCCCGCAATAGCTCCAATGCATTGCACTAGAATGAAGAGAATGGTTCGCACCAAATTGATCTCTCCAGTGATGAAGAAACTGACTGTTACTGCAGGATTAATGTGGCCGCCGCTCACATGGCCGATTGCCTGAAATTTATTCAAAAAAATCATTTTTATTTCATCTTCAAATTGGAATTCAATGGAGGACTCCATTTAAAAGTAAAGCTAGGAGCAAGTTGAAATTTTCACCATCTTTAGAATAGCGAAGAATTAAGTTTATATTTCAATTTCTCAATGAATTTTTCCCCTGGAGACTTTTTCTAATTGCCCGAAAATGGTTGTAGCTGCGGCAAAATTGCAAAAGCCAAAGAAGTTTTCACATGAAACACAGAATCCGAATTTGTACAAAAAATGGTCAGTAGCGCACGACTTTTTTTGAAGGGCTTAAGAAACTTGACCGCAGATTTGTAGAGCTTGATAGTTTTTTTAATTGATGGCAAATTCTTCCAGTGTATTCATTCTTGAAAAAACCCATCTAAATGTTGTAACCACATTGATAATTTGCCTATTCAATTAACAATTGCAAATTTCTGTTTGAGGTTGAATTCCTCGTAAACTATAAAGAGCGCTCAAATGTTTGAACTGAACCTACGGCTGTTTGCAAAGGACAATGTTGCGTTATTTAATGTTGCAAATCATCATATAAATAGTGTCGACAATTATGCTTTATCTCTAATGGCAATTATTTGGTTTGCTCTTGAAAAACAGTACATAAAATGTTCACGCAATTTTTTAATGGCGCGCCCGAGATTTTTGCCGCTGGGTATAGGTGAACATGTTACGCAACCATTTCGACTTTAACGGATGTGAATAATTACTTAACTAGAACAATTGATTGGTGATAATTGATGATTCTCTCAAAACTTGCTTGGTCAGTTTTTCGTGCACATTCTGGGCTCAAAAATAAAGTTTTTCAAACCGGCAGAGGAACAGAGCGAATTTCCGGAGTCTTTCAAATGTGTTTTCGTATTTTTGTGCAGCTTTTCCTCTTGCAGTATCTGAATGCATTGTCTTCACTGTGAAAAAGCTTCACGTAGCCTGTTGGTCCAGTTAGGAAGTTCT